TACATAGCAGCTGCTCAGTGCTGTTTGTTGCTCGCACCAATCAAGCTCTTGTTTTGTGAACGTAAAACTCACGTTTGATGTGTATTCTTGCAACGCGCGCAGCCTGGACACTGTTATTTTTCTAATAAATTATATCACAGCTATTGTTTAGTAAATAAGGATGAAAGGATCAGTGATCAAGTGATTCAGCACGTCAGTGTGAAATTGTTCGCAGCAGAAGAGGTGAGGTGTCTGAATCGCTTGTTGGGTAGTGGAGTGCTGGTCTGTGAGGCATCTTACAACCGGTAATGTCACAACGGCGCATAATGTCACAGCGATGCATAATGTCACAAAATTGTGACATGCGTTGACCATCCAACGCATAATGTCACAACCAACGCATTATGTCACAACAGATTTCTCACGCATAATGTCACAACAGATAAATGCATAATGTCACAACTTCTTTCAGTGATTTTTGATTTCTGGTCTGTGAGGCATGTGTATGGCTATGCGCTTGCGCTGGCAGGGGTCACGTACAAACTATTTGGATGCAAGGTTTGGTCTCGGGTCATTTTATACGTGCATTTATTTGACAAATATTGACAAGTGTTAAATAGTAATTCAGGCTTCGAAGGTTTCAGGCGTTTTCTTTGAGCTTGTTCCGAAAATACACGGGAGTTTATCCAGAACATGCATAGAGTATATACAGGAACATGCATTAAGTTTATGTGGAGCATAACTAAAGCTCACTCGGAATATGCACTAAATTCATCTATCCGAAACATATAAAGTTTATCCAGATTATGCATCGAATTAATCCGGATAATGCTCCGAGTGGAACGTGCATAAGTTCACCCAGACCAACCATTGAATTTATCTAGAACACACAGCATCGCGTCCTTCAAATTCCCACCTCAAGTACATGGGATCCTCTCTTTCCCATCCTCCTATCCTATCACCCCCTTCTTTTATTCGTTTCCTAAACGTTTCTGCTTAAGCTTCCTTCCCAAGCTCCTAAGAATTCTGTCGAGCTCAGGCGTTTCACCCGGGCAGATCAGCGTGTAACCTTATAGTAGATAAGACTTAGGAGGGAGCGTTTCTCTCGACAGTGTCTGCGGGGTCTGGCTATCCGGTCCTATCTGCATTGTACATGTGATTTTATTTACTCAACAACAGCTAGAGTGACACACGCAAACACGCTCTCTGTTGATAGAGCAAAAAAACATCGATTCAACTCGGTGCAGTGAAGTGTGTTGATTTTGGCACAGGCCCGGTTAGGGGTTGGCGCATATGGATTGTCAGGAGGGTAGGGGACTTTTTGTGTGTGTGCGTGCGAGTGTGTGCGCGCGTGCGTGTGCGTGCGCGTGTGAGCGTGGGTGAATGGTGCGGGTGGGGTGGGAATAACCAAACTATCACTTAATTTGTTGCTTGTTTTATTAGATAATGTGGCTATTAGCAGTTGATTAGCTCTTTATATATATATACGCTTAAACACGTTTTCCCCACAATTTTCTTGTCGTACCTAAGTAACAGCCTACTGGCAAACGGTTATATCCAAGAGAATCTTTGGCGTTAGGGTTGGAGTTAGTGACTGACCACAGAGACAAGTAAGATAGGTGGCTGATAGCTTGCCATGAAGCTGAAATCACGAAATTCAAATGGCTAGTTCTCGGGTTTTTTCTCTATTTTCTCTATTTTCAATATGTGAAGCAAAGTCATGTCATTACACGTAAATTTGTCAGTTTTCGAGAGAAGCTTTAAGTCGAAACAATAAAAGTTGTAGGAACAAATGACTAGTATTAATACACCATGATGCGATAAGGTGTTATTTCAAGTAGTGTGTCACTGTGATGCGAGTTGCAAAATTCGCTACCTAAAAAACGTGGTTTGTTATAAGTGCAAGCACTATCGATGATCTACTATCACACGTAGAGTGAGCCGCGACGCCAAGATGTGTAAAAAGTTATCAGTATGCAAGCAAGCACTCGTATATCTACTAGAAGTCGGACTGCTCGGTCACTGGAACCAGTTGGTCGACTTTATTCTTAGCAAGCAGACACTACGATGGCATAGTACACCGTGGTATGCCATGGTTTTTCTTCCACGCCTGAATTTTTACGTACTCATTCCACATCTGATGCATGAATTTTCTTGTATATTATTTACTATTCTACTTAACTGGTGCAGTGCTTTCGGTGGGCATTTATTTACAATTTACTTATTATAGAGCATATTTATTTTTATATACCATTTGCGCATTTGTGTGTGTGTGTGTGTGTGTGCGTGTGTGCGTGTGTGCGTGTGTGC